TGTTTACTACTGGTGGTTGGCTTTGGTCGCAGTACCGCCACTTTCTGCTCTGAGGTGTACACGCTTCACCTATGAGAAAAAGGAGCAGCGCATGAACCGAACGCAACACACGCAAACCAAACCGAGACAGTCGAACCGAACGGTTCAGACGGTTTTCATAAACCATTCCATCCCTAGTAAATAGAGTTGCCATTGTTGTCTAAGTTGAGCTGGATGCCAGTCGCTTCTGAGGATCCACAAAATCTAACCTGAATATAATGCTTCAATTGTTTGGCAGGTTGGACCCATTTAACATAGATGTCACATATTTAGAATAGCATGGGAACTTCTGACATTGTTGCTGAACTACTGGGGCAACAGTTTTCCCATCAAACAAGGTTTTAGTCATAAAGTGTCAAATAAAAAGCTATTTTAAAGATATTTTTCTCTAAAAACTTTCGACCATAGAGCTTGGTTCATCTCCATCAAGAACTCTGAAATGAGAGAGCTCTTTAGGTATCGGCAAGAACTTAAGTCCAGATATTTTAGTTAAAAAAATCATCCTCTGATTTCACCATTGCCTGTATGACTGAGAACACTTACCAAGATATGGGTTGATTCTAAATACATAATCAGTTGCTTTTTTTCTGTCCTCACAGATCTCAACAAATCGCATGCATCCAATGAGGAGAAAGCTTTGGCCATCCAACATCTCTGTAACCAGCGGGGGAGGTCTAGTCATGATCAGGATGCATCTGAACCTCAGTTGGTAGAAGATACTCTGGTAGAATCACATCCTTCTATTAAAGAACAAGATGAGCAAAGCTCTCTGGGGAATATACAGAAAGAAGATCAACCAGAAACAGATGTGATCAAAGAAGAAAATGATAAACCCACATCTAAATTGGTAACAGAGGATCAAAAGGAAACAGGTTTTTTTCTGAATGAAAAAAAAAATGAACCCGGACCTTCATGGAATGAAAAAAAAGAAGAGGAGATACCATCAGCTCCCCTACTTGGAGTAAAGGAGGAACAAGATTCTTTAGTGTCTATTTATGAAAAGGAGCAACTAGAATATTTGCCACCAAGGAGGGACCAGAATGACCTAAGCAGCAGTCAGGAGGAAGAGCAGCCTGTCCAGAAGCAGTCCATTACCTTGATGGAGACCTTTACTCCTCAGGAAGTAGATTTGAGAGGAAGAACACAAAGAACTGAGCATCCTTCCTTTCATAGGCCTCCCATAGTGGAGAACACAGATTTAGAAGTAAGCAGCTCCGCTGTGTCAGATATTCAGTCGCAAACTGACACAAAACAAAGGCCTTTCAAATGTGAAATATGTGGGAGAACCTTGAAGAATAAGTATATTATGAAACAACACTATATAACCCACACAGAGGAGAAGCCGTTTTCATGTAAGACATGTGGAAAAGGTTTTTCTAGGGTTGCTAGTTTAAAGGATCACATCAAAACCCACACAGGTGAGAAACCTTTTCCTTGCAAGACTTGTGGAAAATGTTTCACTCAAATGACTACTTTAATTGGTCACATTAGAACCCATACAGGTGAAAAACCATTTACCTGCAAGACATGTGGAAAAAGTTTCTCTCAGGCAAGTACTTTAAATGTTCACATCAGAACCCACACAGGGGAGAAACCTTTTATTTGTAAAACATGTGGAAAAGGTTTTGCTACTCGTGGTAATTTAAATGTTCACTTCAGAAACCACCCACACAAGTAAAGGATTAGTCAGTATTTGGAACAATGTTAATTAACACTGGAACACTGAAATCTGTGTTAAAACAAAAGCATACACATGGGAAAGTCATTAGACTTGCATACGTGTTTACAATTAGATTCCATTTTTTGTTCGTTTGTTATAGTAAAAGATTTTTTTTTTTTAAAGTTACTCTTTAAACAAGTGTTTTACAAAATTAGGTTTGGATTATATAAGGTCAAATTAGGGTTGGGTGATAAATCGCTTTAATGGATTAATCAAATTTTCTGTCAATTCTGTAATTATTAAAATTCTCGATTGTGATTCTATTTGAAAATTTCTGCTGGATGTCTCCTCCTAGAGTTTCAGTTTTTATCCCTTTGAAAGCTTGCTTCTCCAGAGTCCATTATTGAAGGACTTTAACCTTTCATTGATAAAGTGCTTACTTCTACTTGCATGTATAGATTGGCATCAGACATGGGCAATGTGGAGTCAATAAGTCATCTCCATGTCATGTATTTGTTCTACCCAGCCACTGAAGCAGATGAGTCCAATCTTCACCGTGAATTAACCTGTCCAGATTGGACTCACCTGGTTACTTGGCTGGGTAGATTAAATACATGTCATGGAGATGACTTGTTGACTCCACATTGCCCATGTCTAATTGGCCTGCAAGCTGGAAATTTCTTTCCTTTTTCATGACAGCAAATCTTGCAATCACCTAAAGGGCTGAAGTCCAATTCATGATGGAGGTTTACTGCAAAGTCTTAAGATTTCTAAACCTGAAATATGGGAAACTTCGAAATGTCCGTTTCACTAAGAGAGTTTACCCAACCTCAGTCACCACAGCAACATTCTCCTCAGAGCTAACCTGGTCGGGAGCAGGCTTGTTTTTTCCAGAAAACTCTGTGTCATTAACATTGGCTCTAAGGAGAGCAGTTTGTCAGATCTGTTGTCATAGTTTTGTGCATAAAAAAACTTTTTGTGTAGGTTTTAAAAACAAATATTGCATGTCCTTTTGATAAGTATCTTATTAAAGAAAAATAATTATAGGGAGAGGATTCTACAACTCAGTTGACAGGGGAAGACATTACTTGTTTTTTGTTTGTTTAATATGAGCAACATGCAGATCAGTAGTAGTATTAGTAGTAGTACATGAAGAACTATTGACATTATTTTCAGATTGCACATAAATAGATTCATTAATTCCATGGGGGGAGAAGAAATTACCTTAGGTTTAGGATTAGGATTCACTTAATGATAAACTACTGAGCCTACTGGTACAATCCGAAGCCATTCTATGGGACTGGTAACCGCTGATAACATCCATTTATTAGGATGATAACATCCAAGGCGCGGATGAGAACAGCCACCTGGTATTTTTACTGTGTAAAAGAAGACTGAATCGACATGAGGCGAAACCCATGAAATGATGCTCAGGTTCTACATATTAAAACTTTTAAGAATTAATTTTCACCTGATTTCACCTAAATAGATAAATTGATCGCTACCATTTAAGAAATAAATCCGCAATGTTATGGTGGTCACAACAGCCTGTGGCAAGCCGCTTTGATATGTATTAATTATACTGAATATGTAGACTATTCCTGATATCTGGAAAAAAAAAAAAATTCTAAAGAATCATTTCAAACAAAATAAACATTCTGGATGTCTAGACATTTATTTCAGATCTTTTTGATGCATTTGTATTATTTTGACTATGAAGAAATGTATTTCAGGGATCATAAATAGGCTACATATTCAGTCAAGCTAATAAATGTCAAAACAGCAAATATATATATATATATATATATATATAGAGAGAGAGAGAGAGAGAGATTTTTTTTTTTTTACAGAAATTCAGTTATTTCTGTCGAAATGTAATTTAGAAAATCTATTATTACAGTTCAGTCAAGGAGGAGAGTGCTTTTAATAAATGTAAAA